GCCTTGGGCCATTTATTTTATTTACTAGGCCACGTGTCATTCTTGTAAGGGTTTCACCCTAATATGTGATGTAAGCATTTGGACATTTTGATTTTCTATATAACATCATTGTATGTTTTATAATAATTGAGAGGGTAATTTGTGACCAAATTGGGCAGAGCTAGGATAAGGATGGACCGCGCTATAAGGCCAAGAAAACATCTTCGTATTTCAGATTTGGGCTGAAGTAATGATCTTTGTAACGCGCCCTTAGACTTTCTGCGTCATACCGGTCAGGGGTGGATTACCAACGGCATGATCTGGCGGTCATAGACCGAGGTATCAGTGGAAATCGGACCAAGCTAAAGGATAGCTCAGTAGGGTGTCATTTCAAAGTCAAGGTTAACTAAATTGACTTAATTAGCACTGAGCTATGTAAGCACGGTTAAGTCTTGTGCCAGTCGAGGTAAGAGTTGTAACTATCTCACTTAGGTAAGCAGTGAGTAAGGAGTTATCAGGATGGGCATTATCCTTGAGAGCGTGATTCCTATGAGGACTCTTATGAAGAGAGTTGGAGTCCTACTAGGATTGTACCAAGCAGAATCTACAAAGCTAGTGACAGGACCTATGTACAGGTATCACAATTTCTACCCTCGAATACACAGAGCTTTTGTCAATAGTCTATTTGTTGACTTAGGCATCAAAGAGGTTTTCAGCTGTAACAACCCTCATACTGTTTACCGACTGATGACTGATTGATTACCGTTAAACTGAATTGATTTTGACCGATAATTGAACTGATTATAAGTACTGAACTGACTGACTGAAATTGAAACTGAATTGACTGAGTATATGTTAGTTAATTGCATTCTATCTGTTTGGTTGTCCGATTATCTGTTCATGTTTATATGTTTAAACTGCTAATTGAAGGCCTTATCGGCGGCCGAACTAGAAACCGATTGATGTTCCGTGACCCTCATAATTAATGTGATTTTATAGTATAATTATCTGAAAATTGATTAGGTATGATTAAATTAGATTAAAAATAAGCCAATTAAAGAGTTTGCCATAATTACCATTTTGCCACTTAAGTGGCCCACTACTTGGATCATCTTTGATTCTCATTATGCTCACACATACACATTTCATCAGCTCATTTTGAGCACACCACCGACTAGAGAGAGGGAGGTAGGGAGTTAGAGCGAATTCACCTTGAATTCCTTGGAAACTTGAAGAATTGCTTGGTAATTGAAGTGTAGAT